AACTTTTTTCATTTATGTCTCACTTATTTTATCTATATGCTTTTTCTTGTTTTTATCAGTCAGTATATTCTTGAGCACTTTCTTGGTGCCAGGTCTGTAAATACCTACAGAAGATTAGCTCTGAGTGCATTACTACTGCCTTATAATATCTACCTAATAAAAGAGTAACATATTAATTGATTGTACCTTTGCTCACTCACCAGCCAATCAGGAGTGAATATGCAAATTAACCCAACAAAGATGGAAGGTTAATTTGCATATACAGGTGCCAATGAGCTGAGGGTAGGGTGGGGCAGGATGTAGGCATTCTTCACCACCCCAGCCACTCCAGGCCTCTGGGAAGTGTGGGAAGGCAGAAAGGCAGCTCTGGCCAGAGCGAAGGTGCTGCTGGCAGCCAGGGGAAGGAAGGTCCATTCTTGGATGAATCTTTGTGCATCAGGCCTCTAGTCTCAGTATAAGGGCAGAGTGGTAGGGGCTTAGAGTTAGATAGAGCTGGGTTCTAGTGTGGGCTTTTCTAATTGCAAGTTTTGACTTTGGGTAGAGTATTTAACCCTGATAATCCTGTTTGCTGGTCTATGAAATGGATATATCTATAATAATCTATAGTAATAAAAGCATAACATGCTAATTAGACTGGATATCCTTTAGGATGAAGCTGGGGCTGTGAGGGAAGCCTGGGTCCCAGGTGTTAAAGGGAAGCTGGTGCCAGCAGCCAGGGGAAGGAAGGCCTACTCTTGCATGGATTTCGTTATATGTTATATATTAACACCAGAGTGGGGCTTAGTAATTTACTAGGCTTAGTAATTTACTGTTATCAATATCTTCTCTTTTTTTTATGCCACTCTACACAGCCAAACAGCCTTGTTAAGTCTGAGTAATGAGCCTCAGAAGAAAATAGCTAACCATCCGAAAACATAGAAGAAAGAGTATGCTCCAAGGTTCTTTGTTTGTGGGCAACAAAATCTGACTTAAACCCAAAGAGACTTATTTACAAATATATGATAGAACTCATAATCAAGACTGACTGGCTAGACAAGACAAAACTAGGCAGGTTAGAAGGTCTTTGGCGCTGCCACCAGAACTAATGAACTCCTTCAGATTTTGCAGTCTTTCTGTCCCTCATATTCAGTATCCAAGCAGAGAGACTTTGGTTCAGCCTTGCCATGTACCTACTCATGAAATGCACAGGTTATTAAGAGACAAGATCCAGAGTGTTCTGTGGAGCACCCTGACTTAGCTACTGTATTTTCCGGCATGTAAGACAACTTTTGAAACTAGTAAAAAGCATGCTCAGATTGGCCAGAGTCAGAGAGGTGGTCTATTAAAAAAAAAAAAAAAAAAAAGAAGAACTGGTGTTGCCTCGGAAGTGGGGGGTAGTCTTATACAGCGAATATAGGCCTAAACCTAGGTTTTAACTGTAAAATTAGGGGGTCGTCTTATACACCAGAAAATACGGTATGTATCAAGACTGCCCTTCTTGCAAGTTATTACTCAGACAGTGCTGATGAAATGGGGCAGTCTAAAAAGAGGCAGAACTCCACTGCTGAGAGACTTGCAAGTGCCCATCACCTATTGGTTAAAGGGTATCCAGGGAAGATCAAACATGTAAGAGAGAAATGGATTTTATGCACCAGCCATCAAATCCAGTTAACACCTATAAAGGGTTATAGCACCACCTACCGTTTTAAGCTAAAATTTCCTTCTGTTAAAAAGGCTTATTTTTTTTGTAGTAATTAGGACAAGCAAGTGTAATAAACCAAGGGCCTATAATTCTATGCAGTGGTTTAGAAAAATAAAAAAAGGTGACTTCCCACTGAAGACTTCGCGCTGTTTATAGTGTTTGCTGTCACAGCTCTGAACTGCTGGCTTGTGAATTGCTACTTTAACAGCCAGGAAGTGTAGTAATAATGGTGATACTTTATTGACTACTGTTGAAATCTATATACTCTTCTTGAGTACCTACGGTAATAACATGCTAATTAGACTGGATATCCTTTAGGATGAAGCTGGGCTGTGAGGGAAGCCTGTGGATTATTTCATTTAAGCACACCACCATAACTATGTGAGAGAGGTATTATTATATGCATTTGACAGATGGAGTAAACTGAGACACAGAGAAGTAACTTGGCCAAGATCACATACCTAGCAATGACAGAGGTGGTATTCGAGTCCAGATAGTTTGACTTACTGGAGAGTAAGTGCCTGGGACTCTCTGGGCAAAGAAATCTCTCCTAGTGATCAGGGGTGGTTTGTATCTTGGTGGTACTTCACCTGTGTCTGTCAGCAAGGTACACCTGCTGTGACTCATTTTCCTTTTTACATATGATTGATAATACTTTTGTCATTAAGAATATCTTTTACTCATGTAAGTCATCTATGTAATAATCATAGACATCACTTATATAGCATAGGTGCCAAATGCTCTTAAGAGCATTTGGCACCTATGCTATATAAGTGATGTCTTTCTCAATGTCGCTATGAAATAAGCGATATCTTTCTCAATGTCGCTATGAAATAAGTGATATCTTTCTCAATGTCGCTATGAAATAAGCGCTAGCTTGAACCCCATTTTCCAGATGAGGAAAGGGTTAAGTAACTCTCCAAGATCACACAACGAATAAGTGACAGAGGCAGTACTTAACGCCAGATGGTCTTGCTGAAATCTGCATAGTGTACCAGAGTGCTTATAAAAAGTCATTTCAACATAGTACAGATGTATTTGGATAGGATAGAAATCACAGAGGCCCACATCTTGAAAAAAAATAAATGTGGAATGAAAATGACTGAAATTTTGGAAAGACATTTAAACTCTGATTTTTATTATAGGTAATGCTTGGTTATCTTCTTAGACATTCTTGGAAGAATTTCTCTAGCATAGATTCAGGGATGTGGATTTACTGGGGTATTGCTCTCCAGAGCACAAGAGAAGGAGAATCTGCATTCTTACCGAAGACACACTCAACTCACCCTACTATGACAAAAGCTAGTACATCATCAGATACTTTATTTACATTAGGGCATGCATTTCTGACTAGAAAGAGTGCAAGGACTGTGACAGTTAGTGCCATCTAGTGGTTAGACAAAACTTTGGCTCCTGGAGAAGGGCCCATCTTCAAAGTGCTGAAAACTGGCAGAGGAGCTGGCCCAAAAATCAGATTCTTGTCCTTACCCCTGGCGAATCTAATTCAGAAGGAAGAAGAGGGGAGAAGGGAGGGGGGAGAGAGCGAGAGCGGAGGCGGGGTGAGGCGTGTCCAGGCGACAGCATGTTTAAAAGAAGCCTGTGGTGGTTATGCTTGTGGTCTTACTTCTGCTCTAGAGCACAGGTTAGCAATTGGCTCAGCTCTCTCCACTTCACCAGCACGGGCTGTTTTGGGTTGAAGCGGATTCATCTGAGCTTGCACGCAGGGGAAGGATGGAGACTGGCTGTGTGCTTGGGGATGAGAAAGAAAGTGCCCAAACTATGAGCAAATCCATTTGCATTTCCTCCTCCTCATTTATTTCTGTTGACCTCTGTGCTGCTTTGGACCCTGGGGGCCATCCCCTCCCTACTTCTGTCTGCTTCTTCATACCCTTCAGCCTGGTATTCAGGGTCTCCATACCTTCCGACTCCAGACCTTCCCCCGTGGTCCTCTGTGAACATCCCTTGTGCACATGAATCTTTCCGTGTCCCACACCATCATGCTCAGGCCTTTGGTCATACTGCTTCTCCCCCTGAAGTTCTTATGCTCCATTCTTTTTGCATTGTACTGCAATCTTTAAGTTTTCATATGTCTTTTAAAATTCAGAAGACCCACAGTCTCCGAGAAGCCCTCCTTGGAGTCTTAATGCCTTATCCCTTCTATTTTGCCACCATCCTGGGTGTGTGGCCTATACAAGTATCATCAAATAATGTTTCTTATTGCTATATAAATATTCTATCCATCCATCCATCTAGCATCTTATTTATTATATTGTTTCTCTGGGATATAAATTCTATGCATCCTTCAAATGCCACCCACTCAACTAAGCCAAATACAGACTATTCTCAGCTTCATTTGTTGATTCCTTCTCCAAGATCTGCTAGCACTGCTAGTCCTCAGGTGCTCGCTTTAACCCTCGAGCGCACATTCTAGCGTGTTTCTGAACTCTGCGATAGACTTCTTTTCCTGCTTGTTAGTAAATTGTAGCTACATAGGACAGAGACTCATTTTTGGATATTTTCCAACATCGTTTGCACATTTCCAAATGCATTTTAGGGCTCAGTTGAACTTGTTTCCATCGCTAGCAAGTTGTCCATGTCCTCACGTTAGAAGGGAAGCAGAAGTTTCAATTTATTGAGCATCTGATATTGGTCAGATGCTGTGCTTAGAATTTTACATCTACAACTTCACCCTGTGAGGAGACTGCTATCCATTTCTTAGATTAGAAAAGTTAAGACTCATGCATGTTAAGACAATGAACAGATCAGCGTTTGGACCTAGGCTCATCCGACCCCAGAACCCATCCACTGGACTCCTCCCATTGGCCTCCCTTTAGTTCTAGAGCACCACTGTGTGGTGTTTTATGGCAATGCTTTGCATTCCTGCTTCCTCCTGTAATGAGTCTGCTATCCAGTATTTACCCTGGAATAGCAGTCAGTCCCACTCCCCATGCCCTGCTTCCTGTCTAAGTGGGAACACTGCTCTTCCCCTCTTCCCCTGTAGTCTGATTTCTATTTGCATAACTAAAACCATGTGCTCACCTGCACTTTTCTGGGGGTTGAGGGGGTGGAGGGGGGGACTGGGTTTATGGGATTGAAACATTGCTTAAAGAGGGATAACTCTGGGCCCTGCTCTGCGGAGGTGCCTCAGCGAACCCTGGTGGAGGCATCTCGCTGGCATGCTGAGCCTCCTTCCCTGTGCCCACCTTGGGAATGTAAGTGACCTCACCGAGCTTGGTGGCTTTGGGCGCCCTTTCTATAAGGAGCCCCATGGAATTTCCTGACGAACCCAGAACTAACCGGGTTTTGTCTCCTGCCGCAGGGATTCAGAGCAAGCCCCCGGCACATTCGGAGGCGAGCTGCAGCGGCCGCGGCCGCCCGCCTGGAGGAAGCCAAGCCCGTGCTGGAGGCTGCCCACCAGAGTGAGCAGGACAGCTCGGCCAGGAAGCGGAGGATCAAGAAGAACAGCCGCGTCCAGCCGGAGTTCTACCACTCCGTCCAAGGCGCAGCCACCAGAAGGCCTGTGAGTACAGAACCGTTTTTTATGAGAATGCCACCGACACTGTCACAAGGCGAGGTCAGCCTCCTAGCTAAAAAAAGAAAATTCATCAGAGTAACATTACATAACTAGGTTTTCCTCTTCTTGTGCCAAGTGCCCGGTGCACTCACCTGTGTCCCGGAAGGAATGTGGTTGCACGGGTTTCAGAGCCGGCATTGGGGCACAGAGCTGTCACAGAGGCTGGATCAGTCACTGGCAGACATCGGTTTAAAAACCGGTGAGGTCTGAGCCTCATTGGAGCCAGGTCTAGCCTGAGGACGGGCCAGCCAGCTGAGGTGCAGTAAGAAGAGGTCAGAGTTGGTGGGGGTGGGTGGTGGGTGGGGGAATGCAGAGCCAGTGTCAGGATGGGTGAAGCAGGGGGTGGAATTGGACCTGGTGTCCAGGGTGGTAGTTGAACCCCTTCAGAGGGGTTTTGGGCCAGTAAGGCCTCTGCTGCCCTCTGCAGCCGCCAGAGAGACTCTGTAAGGTGCTGGCTGCTCAGGTGTGGCCTTTGAGTTGCCCTTTTTTTCCATCGGGGTGCCCAGTGTCTCTAGCCACAGTGCTGCTGCACCTGCCATTCAGCTAAAAGCTGGGTTCCACCTCTTGCTCACCTGTCAGCCCATGGCTCTGGGTGCGTGGATTCTTTTTCTTAGTTGAGGTTTTTACACGTGGACTTTTTACCAACGCTGTGACAGTGAGGGGTTTTGGCCTAGAAAATGCCCCTTTAACGCTTTTAGAAAGCAATTTCATAGCTGCAATAATTTTGCATTGCTTTAGCATTCGCTCCTGTACTGTTGGGAGCCTGTTTCTGTCGTTCCTCGTGCCAACCTAGGGGAGCCATCGAGATTTGACTTCATAATAAGTCTTTGTAAGTCCTTAAAGCAGAACTGCTTTTGTGTGGGGCAAATGTGTGGCAGGCACATGTGGGCGTAGTGAGAAAGCCAGGAGAGTGTCTGACTCAGTGACCGGCCAAGGGCAATGGCAAGAAAAGGTCCTGTTTAACTTCAACCAATTGTGAATTAAGTACACGGAGGGGTGGCAAAAGTAGATTACAGTGACTGTGTGAGACACAGTTTATTCTTGTATGATTATTTATCAATTAGTGTATGGTTTTCCATACAAACAATTATAAACCTACTTTTGCCCACTCCTGCATTTAGAGTGTTCTTTTCAGCCGAAACTAGTTTGGCTCAGTGGTAGAGCATCGATCTGCAGACTGAAGGATCCCGGATTCGATTCCGGTCAGGGGCATGTACATTGGTTGTGGGCACATCCCCAGTGAGGGGCGTGCAGGAATCAGCTGGTCGATGTTTCTCTCTCATTGACGTCTCTGGCTCTCTATCTCTCTCCCTTCCTCTCTGTAAAAAATCAATAAAATAAATTAAAATAAATAAATAAATAAATAAATAAATAAAGTGTTCTTTTCATAATTTCGTACAACAAAAGCTTAGTAGAATTTAGTCCCTATGTGGAGCAATACGAAATAGGAACATTTATCCATTTAATAAACTTTTTTATACAGGAAATAAGGGAAGTACATATATGAATAACTAATGTTATTGAGGGCTTACTTTGTAATGAGAGTTATTCTATGTGCCTCACTTAACAACCCTAGGAGGTACATGTTGTTATTATTCCCATTTTGTGGATGATGATACTGAGGCCCAGAAAAGGTAAATAACTTGTCTAAGTTTACTGAGCTCTTAGGGAGCAAAGTCTAGGGCGTGGATCTGGGCAGCCTGCCTCCAGAGCCCAGCATTTACCTCTGATCTAGGAGCTCATAGCTGAGCGAATGGACAGATATTTAAACAAGCAAACACATGCATGCCAGTGTTAGGAAAATGCTGTTGTAGAGTTATGCACAAGGCACTACAGGAGCATCTCAGAGGGCCAGGAATATTTACCGAGCAGCAGACAGCTGAGATGAGCCCTGAAGACAAAGAGTTTATCAGGTGGAAAGTAGAGGCGGGAATCTCTGATGAAAGAGCATGTACAAAAGCACAGAGGCATGAAAAGAATGGCTTCCTCAGGGACCAGCTCAGGTGGTGCTGGCAGATGAGACTGGATGGGTCAGGCAGGGCCAGGTCATTAAGGGCGTACATATTATGCTAAATAGTTGGGTTTATTGTCTGGGATGGGGATCCGCTGGAGGTAGAGAATGGGCACACTGGTTCTGCTGCTCAGAATCCAGCCAATTCTTTGCTCCTTGTAACCTTTCCATGTGGATCAGAATGGAGAAGTGTTTACCATCACAGTTTGAGAGCCCATCATTTTCTCAGGAGCACTGTACCTAACTGCCTTAGGTGGTGCGGTGCATTCCTGATGCCTCTGGACTTGGAACTTGCTGTCTACGTTGTCCTGGAATGCAAGCCTCACTCTTGGTTTTCCTGACGAATTTCAATTCACCTCTTAAGACTGGCTTATGCTGGTGAGACTATTCAGAAAGGTTTTGTTGGATCCTTCCTATGAGAGTGAGGTGCCATTTGTCTTGATCCATGGCACTTTGTACAAGTCTCCAACATAGCAGTTATTCAAGTGAAAAGGGCAGGCTGTGTGGTAAGACAGACACAAGTTCAAATCCAGCTCTGTGTATCTGGCAGGAAATAGTTGGCACACTAAGAGAGTTTAATTGAAGAGATTTTAATGAAAGGACTGTTTACAGAGGTGTGGGCAGGGCTAAGCTGCTTCACCAACTTTCATGTAGAATGTGCCTACCACTCCTGATCCGAAGACCATGGCCAAAACTAGATCCTGGTAAGAGGAGCTGGGCCGTGGAAAACCCTTCCCCAGGAGCTGTGGCTGAGAAGTGTAGCCACAACCAGAACCTGATGAGGCAGGAAGGGAGCAGGTGCAGTGAGTCTACAGCTGGTGCTTTTCGGTCACCCAACCTGATTGGAGGCCAGAGGGCAGAGGAGTTTGGGTAACACACATTATAGAGGTAAACATCCCCAGAACAGAGTGAGGCAGAGATGGACAGAGATTCTGAGATGGGAAAAGGACAGAGGATAATAGAAATCACATGTGGTAATCTTTGCCAAATTGATCAACTCTTTGAGACTCAGTTCTTATTGTAAAGCAATCACAATAGCTATCTCATTGAGTTGTGAGGATAAACTGAGCTGATGTGGAAATAGATGGCGCAGTGACCTGCTTAGAATAAACTCTCAGAAAATGATAATTCCTTTCTATCCATTCCTCCCCACTTCTTTGGGGGGCCAGCTCATGTGATTTAGAGTATCTCATCTGGATGCATTTATTGAGTAAATGAATGAATGATATTATTCATGACATATACTTATGCACTATAGAAACTGAGAGAATGGAGAGGTGATTTTTTTTTAACCCTTCCTTATTCCATAGGATGATCAGGGAATAAATACTTCTGGGAAGAGATTGCATTGAGTTGGGCTTTAAGATCCGGGTAGGAACTGGATAGGCAGCAGATGTTACGTCTGGGAAGTAGAGTAAGCAAAGGTACTGAGAACTACTTTGCTGGATGTGAGGATTTATAGAAGAGAAGTACAGGATGGAGCTGGAAAAAGAGATTGGGGCCAGGATACATTCCATACAGCCACTGCATTTAAACTCATTTTCTGTGCTTCACAGAGACACTGGAAGAGGTGAGTAGCATGATCAAAGCAAAGTTTTAGGAAGATTAAACGGGAGCAGGGTGAGTCGGAGGGGAGCAGGACAGGGGCCTGCGAAGCAACTAAAACAGTGTAGGTGTGAGGTGATTAGGACTTGAACTTGGGCCTAACCCATGACATTCTCTGCGGGTGTCTGGTGGTCACTGCTGATGGGGAATCTGAGGAGGGCCTTCACCCTCTCTTCCTCAGGAGCAATTGAAAAGAGGGACATTAGAGGGCAGGAAATAACAGTGGAGGCTACTCTGTTGTTTGGGGCGATAGAAAGATCCTGGGGAATGTTCTTTGGGGCAGATAAAGCTCACGTCCCCCATCTTCCTGCATCTCCTAGGGCCGTGGTCAGCAAACTGTGGCTTGTGAGCCACATGCAGCTCTTTGGTCCCTTGAGTTTTTAGCAAAGGCCAGCTTAGGAGTACCCTAATTAAGTTAATAACCATGTACCTACCTATATAGTTTTAAAATTTTGGCTCTCAAAAGAAATTTCAATTGTACTGTTGATATTTGGCTCTGTTGACTAATGAGTTTGCCGGCCACTGTCCTAGGGGGTCATTCTGGAGACTGACTATCACCAAGTTGGTGGTGAGGAGGCTGTTGGCTCCTTGTCTCACAGGATTCCTGCTCAGCCTTCTGGAGCCTCTGGCCTGTGCTGACATTTCCTTATTTTTGTGAGGACATGAGCTGAGGCCTTGTGTCTGTCCTCTTCTGGTTAGGTGTAGTCAGCAGTGCCTGCGAGAGCCACCCTGTTTAACATGTGTCTGAAGCCTGAGCCTTTCTAACTTGCACATTTGGAGAAAATCAGTGCTACCACACATGGCCATGAAGGCAACTCTGACGGTGGCTTGGAGTGAAAATAAGCCCTCTCTGGTGACTCAGGATTATTTGAATGATTTTCTATGAAGAACTCCAGGCATTTCCAGGGGCAGTCTGAGGAAGAAATAGGCCCCTGCGTGAGAGAGACTGGAACAGATGTAGCTGGGAAGATGAGTCAGAGATGGTGACAGTGCAGTTTCAGCCACTTTCAGGAGGACTGTCCTCTCTGTGAGATGGGTACGTGCCACGTGGCTACTATAACCAAATTACCTATTCTGAATTCATAATTTATACTCAAATGTGCCTATAAGGATTTATAATGGAGATCAGTAATGTAAACTTAATAATATGCATGCTTTTTATGAAATAAAAATTAATGAAATATGAATGTTTCTAAGGATGAGTTAGCTAGAAATTTATCCTGATTTTCTCTTAGGAAATACATATGTCTTGGGATTTATGCTATACATTAAGACACTGGAATACTTAGGAATTTTCTACTACCTTGAAGCATAAGAGATAATTAGATTT